AGCAAAGGCCAACTTAAATGAATCGGATAATAAGCGTTTTTCGTTTCGCGTGCGAATGCGAGAAACGCTCGGCATTCCGTTACATTTACCGCTTCACGAAAAGCCGAAGACCTTTCGGCCGGCCGGAGAAACATAAAGGCTGCCCGACCCACCCGACCCAAACATTTCTGCCATTTCCAGCTATTGAAATGTACAACAATTGGAAGAAAAGAATTTTTAAAACTTCAAATACCAATATACGCATCATTAAGTTTTATTAAATTTTATCAATGTTTGCAGTCACAAGCTAGGTACGTTTAATATTACTATGCAAATGATAACATCAGATGTTGACATCCACGATGCATGAAACTACACGTTTCAGATATAATTACGCCGACTTAGGCAGGCGCGCAGTCAATTTGCTGAGATTTATGTACGCACATCAAAATCAGAAGCATGTAGGTTAATTAGATCAAGACGAACTTGCGGGAGTCAAGCGTGCGGCGTCTCTAGCAGTTCATTCCGCGCGCGCGTGTCGAAAACGAGGATCATAACTCGTGATATCATTGCAAAGTGCCTCATTTAATTAAACGGTGAAGAGCTCTTCGGCTCAGGGCGCGTGATCTCGCCTAAATAAAGAAGGATGCGTAAAAGCGCTAGATGCAGACTTGTTTTTCGCGGCGCGCGCTTGTCACATAAACAAATTATCGGTCATAATCGATTAATTAGCAGTTACAAAAGCCCTAGCTGTGTTTTATATAAGTTGGCGGAGCACGCTCGAGCCGTTGCTCGTGTTGGGGACTTTCGGTGGGCGGCCTCGAGCAAAAAGCGATAAGAGAGCCGAGTCGGACTAATTGCTATACGCTGGCTGTAATAAAACGCGCTCGGGCAAAAGCTCGTGTGCGGCACCCCGGGTGGAATACTGAAAAATACTGATAACATTAATACACGAGAAAATGGAGTTTCGAGCAAAAATGGAAAAGAAATGATTTATTGTCTCATTATATTTCTAGCCAAAAAAAAAACAACACTATTAATATATCTGGACTTGTTTTTGATTAGTGTAGAAAATCATAACTTCAAAGGTAATTAGGTAGATGAAATTTTAGAAACTGGACACTTTAACTGGTTCCATAATGACCACAACCCGACCGCATCATTCAATGTAGCCGCATTAGAGACCACTTTGAGTAAACTTGAGATGATTGGACGTCGCGTCGGCGGACGTGGCATTAGAGCGGCGAGAATCTTGAAAGGATTTGCCAGCCGTCGAGTAAAGGTCCCGGGATATTAATGAGTAGATCCACGACGTGCTTTATTAGTCGTCGCAGGCATATTCCCTGCAATAACCGCATGTTACGCCACCGCTGGCGTTCAGGTGGAATTAGTCAAGCAGAGGAGGCATTACTGTATTACAGCTGCTTAAAGGTGTGCAAGGTGTATGTGCTACGCAAGTAATAGCTGTAGTTATAACCTGCTTACATGTCTTACAGACCCAAGATCCAGGGGTTTAGTAAATAATTTTGAGGTTATACAAAAGTGGCTGAGGCTTAAAGCAAAAATTCAATGAAGGTTGGATTGATCCATGAAACTATTTCGATATACGTTTACATATTTTACATTTTATATTTTGCATTTCGTATAGGATGTGCTGGTGCGTGGTGCGCTTCCGGATGCTTTCAATCGATGTGCGAGCGCCGAGGAAATCGCGGTAAATGAAAACGAATAAAAAGCGAGGTAAGGAGCAGAGTAAGAAATGCACGGCGCGCAACCGGCGAGTGTACCTGGCATAAAAACGTAATTGTATTGACACTTTGATGCTTTGGACGGCGTGGCACGTTCTATTACGATTGCTGCCGTCAGCGCCCGGCGCCTTCACCATGTGGCTTTCTATTTTTATGATGCGAACATAAAAATAGAATTTGCATACATATTCAAATAAAAGCACCCAGAAAGTTTCAATTTAATTTAAGTTCCACACGCGTCACAATAAAAAATAAAAAATATTTTACTCTGTGCTAATGGGAAAGTTAAGTTGGTTATTGATTAGTGAACTGTTACAGTAGCGCGCCACCCTCGTATAATCTACTTTATTCTCTATAGGACCGCATAATTTTTTATAAGCCGAGGCGTGTTGCCACTTGATGAATTATTTATGATGTGTTTGGACAGTTTTCCGATAAATTAGTTTAAACGCCCGGACATGAGACAATAGGCCCGGAAATGATTTAGCTTTTTTTCGCCAACTTTTTATAACGGATAACAATATGTAATTTGATAGTAATTTATTATAATTTCAAAATAAAAACCGAAGAAAATCGAGGAAATGGAATCGGTGTATTTCAGTGAGCGCACGTGCAGTTGACAAGTGTGTTATTACAGTAGTGATTTAACCAAGTGGCCCGGTGTTTGGTGTTGGGGGCGGCGATACACCATTCGATTTGCGCGTTGTTGTGCGCGCCGCGCGCAGTTAAAGCAAACCGATTTCGCCGACAACGGCGGCAACGGCAGCGACGATAAATTCCTAGTTAACCTTTCCGAGAAACCCGGTCAAATTACGACATCTCTGCCGCTGCCTGCCGCGGCTTTTAGAACTGAGGAAATTGCATCTGAACAAATATCCATATAAGTTATGACTCACTTACGAGCCGGCCGAAGCGGGCCCGATACACTGCGCTCGACATTGTTATCGCAGAACAACGAATACTCGCAGGATTCGCTGGAACAAAGCGCGAGCTTAACTCTACAACAAATACCAGCGTGTCGTTTATTGTAAAGCATAACATCAGAGAACTGAAGCCGAGGTATGAAATCGCCGGTGAACTTCCTGATCATGACAAATTTGTGATGTGGCTGGCGTAATTATGACGCCAGATGTCAAACACGTCAGTGAGATAATATTATGTTGGGTTAATGATGATGCGACCGATGGGAACAGTACCATTTGTTACACAACTGCATTTCTGTCGTGTTTACTCACCTGTCACTTGGTTTGTTTAACAACTAATTAATTTATAATCGATTTTTGTTTGAATTTACACTGTTGTTCTATGGAAACTTTTGCTTGTTAAAATAAAGAAGTATTTAAAGAATATAAGAAACTTTACGAGTCCTGTGAGTTTTTCTGTTGCCGGTAATGTCTCGCCGGAGATATTCAACTAGTTAGAATATTCGTATTTTCTGTTAGTTCTCCAGTTACACTTTTTCCGACCGTCGCATAGTTAGAATTTCGAACACACACAGCGCGCGACTAAGTAAGCATTAGCGAGACTGGCGGAGTGCATGCGAAAAAGTTTTTAAACAAGTCGACGTCGGCGACGCTAACAATGCAGAAACTTTTTTACATTAAAATTTCACCTAGGCGAAACGAGCGCGCAGCGCACGGACGAATCCTTCTAAGTGTCTTAATCAGATTTCCGCTTTTCTTTTTCTGCGCGCCGCGCGTGGGAAATTAAGAAAACTTTCCATTTTTCATTCCGCCGTTCTTTACGTTCATCCCCAGCAGCGTTTAATGTGTATTTATATAATTTATCTTCTTACTCTTGAAAACAGAAAAAAACTAAAACAAACGTTTTGTGTCATCCAACAAAACCGGGTGATATATTTTCTGATGGCTGGTTGTAAAAATAGTTAAAACGTCTTCATCGTTCACGTCTTCGGTCTCTCATTAAAATTTAGACACTTTATTAGCATACTGCCATAATTCTAAAGGACCCAGGAACTATTTAAAAAACTTTAGCGAAGGCAGCGTCTCGTGCCGCATCGGTGGCGCGCCTTCGGTCCGAGCTCATTTTTTCGCTGCTTAATACGGTCGTCCATCAACTGGCTAAAACTCCCGGCGCATCCACCCAAACCATTTGCGCCGCATGCCGCATGCCTTGCGCCAATGTTATACTAACTCCGGCGCAATAACAATTAATAATAGGGAAACGCGACGCGGGACGAAACGAATTTGTCCCTAATAATAATTACAAGCATTAAATGCTAAGAGTTGTGTGTGAGCCATCCTCTATACTCGCCGTGTGGGCAGATAACCGGCTGGCAAACTAATTACGCCGCAGATCCCCTTGCCAGTGTGAGCACACCAAAGGAAATTAACCCATACTTTAGGTTTTCCTTTCCAATTGGCCAGGTGCGCACACACATTACAACAAACATGTCGATTAATGACTTTTAATTAATCCGCGAGCAATTAATACCAACTAAACGTAATTGTCACGATTAAATACGAAATCCGCTTTCATTTTGAAAAAATCACAATTCATTCATTTGTGAATGGAATCAAACCTAAATTTATATTTCGGCGCGTGATGTAGAATGCACAACCACGATTAATTTATAACAATTAGCAATTCATAAATATTGAGTTTGTTTTATTGTCCGGTTGAGTTTTTGATTGTGACGCGCAGTAATTAAATTTCGCACGCAGTTCGTTACGCCGCACGCATTTCCATAAATATGCAACAAAACTAATTACAAAATCGTAGTCGTAATCAAAAAGTACGCGGCGAGCACGCACACGCACGATTTATCCCGTTTCGACCCAATTAAACGTTGTGCGTTACTAATTTGCGTTTTAGTATATTGGCTTTAGAATATTTTACATATTATTGTTAAATCCTGTACTTTATACATCTTTGGATGGTATAGTAAATTACGCAATTTCCATTTACAATAATATATGCACTGACAGCTACACCAGCGGTTTCTGGTTCAACTGTAACGACCAGTTGTGCAGCCGCCCGGCGCCTCCACCATTCTCCACCGCTTTGAAGTTGTACCGAAATTGGGTACGTACATCGTGCACATACCTAAGTGAATACCGTAGGTAGTTATAATTTGTTACAACTGGGCAGCAGCAGCTGCCGGTCGGCCGGTGCAATGACAATAACTTTCCTAATATTAGATTCAACTCGGTAGGCGGTTCCTCGAAGGCGACCGAGGGGAACACCATTCCGACACTGTTTATTATTCTCTGCGGCTAATTATAAACTACCTAAGCTGTATATAATACCAACCTCTATAATTTTAACTCGGCGGTTGTTCTGCGGTCAATTGCATATTCCATGAAATCTTAATCCTCTTACGGCGCACCGCTGTGCTGCTCCACTTCTGGAAACATTGTATTTGATTAGTAATTACATTTAAAACATTTTATACTTGTATTTAAGTATTTGTCTCTATTGTGATATAAAATGATTTGAGAGTTTAAGACTTCAGGTGTCAATTAAGTGAGATTATATTGACGTGGCAGTATATAATCATTCAATCTATCAAATATTCTCTCTTCTTATTCGCCAATATCGGGCGCCGCTGTGTTTGTCATTAAAGCGTTGGCATAATTAGCAATTCGCAATAACGACCGGCTCATCTCGACGCGGCCGCCAGCATCAAACCGAGGACCGACGCTCATAACGATAGTTACAGTTGATGGTCCTGCTGTAACAAGCGGTGGAATGTACTCGGGTTGGCGGTATTTTCGTGCATCGTGCGCGCCGACAACTTTCCACCACAACAACAATTCCACCCACATACCCACACATACGTGCGCTACAATTAGTACGTACGCGGATGGTGTTATAACAATATTACATATTTTACACACGTGATGTTCGCGTGTGCATGCGGGTTATGCGGCGAGTCAACATTCATTATATTCCGAATTTATGCGGTAAATATTTCTCAAATTAATTAAAACAATGTCACTTCTAGTAGAAAATTAAATTCTCTCTCATTGTTTCCGCACACTCGTGACACGCAAAAGTTGTGTTGGTGGAGGCGCCGGTGTCGTGGGCGACGAAATTGCGCTTTGGATTATGCAATATACAACGCACGCAGTTAGTGGCGAGTGCGCGGCGTGAATAAATGCACATCCCTTACTTTTAATTAAAATTCGTTAAATAAGCAAGTGACCACGCGTCGACACACGGAATCAGAGACGAATTTACGTGTCTCTCGGCGAAATAGTTTGCGTTCTTTACTGCGCAAGCTTTTAGCGTTTACATTTGAATTTACCAGCGCATAAATTTAATGATCATCGTTATTTTATATTTGGTGATGTTTTTTCTATTTACATGTATGAGCAGCAAGCAACTTTAACGTAAATTAGCTATTTGTAAAACGTTAGGGAATGCAAACAATATTATACTTCAATTAAAGTTCATAAAGCGTTCGATCTCATAAATATTCAGCGACATCCTTTGCGACCTTTTTATTCGGTGTATATATTTTTCACGATAAAGGAATGCAAATAGCTTGCAAAGCAAAATTGCAAATGCTTCTGATATAAACAACAATTTTATAAGCAGACAGAATTTATTTACTATTTACAAAAATTACACAAAAACAAATAAAAAAAAAACACTCGGTACATTTAGAACATGTAAAACATGCAAAACAACTTACTACAACTGTGAATGTATTAATATATTCATATTTTACATTTGGAACATCTCACATCTCATATCTATTCCTTGCTGGTAGAATGGGCTCAAAAGGGTCACTTTAAAATATTCCACCATCGGTTCGTTTACGATGCGCAGTGCAACGAACCGCCACTACCGCAATTTGAGCCTGGAAACCCGTACACCACATTAAATATTAACGCGTAGCGGTTGATCAAAAACGAGCACGAGAAAGGTGTCGGAGATCCTTGAAACGCGTGCACCTTCAGGTATTCCACGTCAAAGTAACAGCTTTTACGAAATGGAAAGCTTTTTGCTAATTTTGCATCTGTGTAATTAACGAACGTGTCTATAAATATTTATAACGTAGATATCTCAGAATTCAAGCCAGGTTTTCATTTATTAAATTAGCAAGATTGTATACAATGTATTTATCTTGCAAAAAACGTAACTAAGATGCAAATTAGCAATTCTTTTATGATTCATCTCGTGAAAAGCTGTATTTGCTAATGGATAATTACACGACGCGACAGCGCAATGCAAAATATACAGACGAAGGAAAATACTAGGAACAAAAACTATTCAGTTGGAGATGTTGGAGTTTATGTGTCGCAGATTTTTCTCAGTCTCGGCAGACGCGTCCGGAAATTATTCGCTTTTACGAGCTTTATTATAATAATAAATATAAAAGGGCTGCAATGCACAGATGCAGCGCTTTCATTTCATTGACGAGACAATGGAATTAAACTTACAGACGGATTTTGTTACAATGTACAAATCAAAAAAATGAAAAATAAATGAAAAACAGTTAAAATTTTTACAAATGTTTTGTTCGACTTTAAGAGACATTGTGCAAAGTGAAATATTAATGCGTACGTTCATTTCATGCAATCCTTGTGCTCGTAATTTAACTCTCCAGATGGGTTAGATTATAACTTTAACCGAATTACTTCCAGCAACTTGTTTCAAAATGCATCCATTTAGAGTTACATTTAGCATGCGGTTTAGTAGTTGTTAACTGTACACATTTAACAAATCAACTTTTAAACCATAATTAGGTTAAAATATTTCTGAAAATGTTTTAATTTGCTCTACATAAAAGTATAATAAACGCCCTAGTTTCTGCCCTTGATGAATATAATAGTATTTAAACTGGGACTTGAGTTAAGTGGCAAAAAATAAGTTTAATTGTTTTGTTGGCGAGTTGTTTCACAAGCGACGCAATTACGCGCCCTAATTGGCATGAATGTAAACGCACGCGCGCTCAGAACTCGCCAAATGTTTGCTTACTTTTTCATTGCTTTATTATTCCCGATAAAACTTGCCGCCCGCTGCGAATCGAATGCAAAGTCTCGTAAAGCGAACAACGCGTACCAGCAAATTCTTGAAAACTCCGTTGTGTGTTTCTGCGCAGCGGCAGTTAACTGTGGACGAAATTGAAGCAAGTAACTAAATCCGGGCGCGAAAAGTTTTCGCCAGCGATCCGAAGCCGAATAATATAACTATAGTCGAAATAACTGTGTAACTACTCCAACAAACTCGATATTCATTTAATTTTAGTTTTTCTTTAACTTAGGTTATGAAACTTGAGATTTTAATTGGCAGGATATTAAGAGGGTTGCTACTTGATGTGTAGGTGCATGTGGGTGGTTTATACCTGCTCACTTGACTTGACTAGGCGTAAATATTTTATACCACCGAAAATGTACTTCCCTTGTCATCTGCCAAAACGACGCGAGAGGTAATTTTGGTTCGGAGACGCAGCGGCGCAGAAAACTGAAGTCGGTGACGGTCGCGGCTTTCGGATGGCAAGTCACCACTGATGCCCCGAATCGGCAGAGCTGGATGTCTTTCGGGTAATAAGGGTAAACCCCCTCGACGTCGCTCGCACGCGCAAGAATATAAAGAGTTTGTTAAGGGAAAACAACGTCACATTGCAAGTCACCATCATCGAAAACGATCTCGGCTCCATTTTTGCCACGAGTATTTTTTCCACTCTATTTGCAGGGATAATTCAAGGGATGAATGCACCGCACTCCAAGACGCACGCCAGACACGTCTTCATCATCGCATCAATCATCATCATTTTTGAAATGTTTCACTCCCGATAAGGGTAACCTCAAGATAACGGAAAAAAACACTAAAAAATTTAAACGCACAACATTTACAGCGAAATAAAACCCAATAAATTCGTAAACAACGCACACTTTTAGTGGAACATTACGTCCCTTCTACTTGCAGACGATTTTAATGCTTAAAGACTTTAATTTACTCCGACGCAAATGGTCTTAATGCCATGTGGAAAGTTATACACAATGGCGGCAGGGGTGCGTGCGGTACATCTTAATAGAAGAAGCACGTACAAGCGCGCAGAACGAGTGGAGACCTGGAGACGCGACGCAAAACAAGTTTATTTATAATCTCCGGGGTGGAATAATTGAAACCCCTGAAAATACGCGTCTCTCGACATGCTTAATGCAGGCAGACACAGTTACGCACAGCATCTCTACCTTCTACCTTTGCTTTCTGTTTCCAACTCTGATAAAGCCAGCAACACGTCAATCCGCACGCGTTTCACTCGCTGTTTACCCTCAAAAATTAAACAATTCTTTGACCTAAAATCAAATTATTTTTCTTGTACACCAAAAATATTTTAAACCTCTATGCCTAGCTGTAGCATTTTTGGTGGAGGCGCCGTGAGTTTATAATAAAGTTTTTCCGCTCCGGCGTCATGACCATGCAAACGGTTATTATTATGTAGTACGTGCGATCGCGCACGAAGCACGCCTGCGACTCATATAAGAAGCTCCAAACGCCCACGCCGACGAAAAAGTCTAGTGCTGCTGCAATGACGACGGCGCGCGCGTCGACCCAAGCGCAAAGTTTGTTTATTAAAGTGCCTTACACGTTATCACTATCGCTTTACTTTGTGCACGCCCGCGCCCGCATATAATCTTTTGAATATTCAAAGCTCATATACGACATGAGTGCACAGGGTTGGTTGACAGTACCCACCCCGGAGAGTCTCTATTCAAACATGCCAAACACATTAATGTCAAATAAACCACTACAAAAAGTCAAACTATAATATAAGTCTCGGATTTAAAAGACGCGGTTGTTGGAAGAAATTAGTTTTAAAGAGCTGTAGACAAGAGCGATAGCAAGCGTGAATGTTTGTATGCTAATGCCACGAGGGCGTAAAAGGAAATATGACGACGTGATTACAGGATAGTGTGGCAGGCGAGCAGCGCGCACCACCCGCGCTCGATAGACGTCGACGGGCGAGCTGGCGCTCACTGTTTCTGTCTCATTAATTCAATTTATTGTCTGATTTGTACGTGGAGCGCCCGGAGGCGGATAATGCACGGGTCGCAATAAATGCTTTCAGAAAACGACTTTTGTCGCTTCCTGCTGCTGTCTTCACGAATTTAGCACGTCTAAATAATACACCAAAATAGTTTAAATTTAAACTATTGATTTTACTAGTTTGTCAGTGACAATATTGTATTCTGAGTAAATTCAACCACAATTATGTTCAATTGAGGTTCATCAAATCATTAACGTTGACAATAGATTGTCTACGTCCTGTTCATTCATAGCTGATAACCGAAACGCGCATTATGCATGGTTCAATAATTTCGAGATGATAAAGCAATGCCAGTTGATGATGGTGGAGGCGCCGGGCTAGCGAGCAGATGTTTGCTGTGT